TGTGGCGAGGCTCTGTTTGGAAGGCAGACCGTGTGTGTTGGTGGGAAGAAAGGCACCTGCCCTTGAAGACAGGGGGGCAGTCCATGGGTAGAGGGAACCCAGGCTGAGGGCTTAGAACAAATCGGGAAAGTTCCGAAAGGATAATGTAAGCCACTCAAGTCTAGAATCACTGGTCACAGCTGGAGAAAGAAGCATTGGAGGAGGAGGGCGTCCCTAGGTAGACAGAACGGTTGGAGATGGGGACACAGAGGAGGGGGAGCAGGGGAAGACAGACCACACCACAGGACATGACAGGGGATTTCCAGGGTCCTGTGACTTTATTGGCCACCTCAGTTTTCATGTCTGTAAAATGGCGATAGTCTCGGCCACGGGAGTGGATTATGAAGGGGATAAGTTAACACCTGCAAGGCTCTTTGTGTACCGAGTAAAAGTAAATGATCAGGAAAGGAGGCGGGGTGAGAGGGGCTGAGGAAGACAGAGCAGGGGTGGCAAGCTAGAGAGAAGGAGGGTCAGGCTCGAGGACAGTTTCCCTGTGGCCTCCTGAGGAAATGATCTTGGCTTGGGTGGGAATCATGAACTTTTCAGAGTCTTGGGGACAGGATGTGTGGGGTGACAAGATAGCTCTGGGGAATGACCAGGTGGGGCTGGATTGTAGCTCAGTGGTAGAGGACTTCCTTAGACTCCCCCAGTGAGGGGCTGGGGGCGTGGCTCAGTGGTAGAGCCCCTGCCTAGAATCCCCCAGTGAGGGGCTGGGGCATGGCTCAGCTGTAGAGCCCCTGCCTAGAATCCCCCAGTGAAGGGCTGGGGGCGTGGCTCAGTGGTAGAGCCCCTGCCTAGAATCCCCCAGTGAGGGGCTGAGGTTTAGCTAGCTTAGCAAAGCTTGGCCTCTGTGCACAGTAGCCTGGGTTCCATCCCTAACACTATAAACACAAGGCCTGTTGGGCCTGGTTTCCAATGCTTTCAGTGAGGTGAGTAACAAACAAACTGTCTCTTGTGTCTTTAGCAGAGGCAGCAGCTGCTCCCGCTGCGGCTCCTGGCCCTGCCCAGCCTGGGCATGTGTCCCCGACACCAGCTACCACCTCCCCTGGCGAGAAGGGGGAGGCCGGCACCCCAGTGGCTGCAGGCACCACCGCTGCTGCCATTCCCCGGCGTCATGCACCTCTGGAGCAGCTGGTTCGCCAGGGCTCCTTCCGTGGGTTCCCAGCGCTCAGCCAGAAGAACTCACCTTTCAAACCTCAGCTGAGCCTGCGGCTGAATGAGCTGCCTTCCACCCTTCAGCTCTGCACTGACTTCCAGGTGAAGGGCACAGGTGAGCCCTTGGGTCAGGAGGAAGGAGCATCAGAGTCAACCAGCCCTGCCTGATGGGGGCCAGGGACAGAGGAGAGATGGTACCCATTGCGATTGATCAGTACCTTCTGCCAGGGGCAAAGGTTAAACCTGT